GAGTGGGAGAAAAATATCGCCTCATCACTTGGCGATTAGCTGGTTGTGCGTGGGTCCTAGAACGAATTATAGCAATTTGTATTGTCTGGACACTCGTCTAACGTGGCACCGATTGAGGGGCGGCAAAGCGAACTACGGCAGCAACGGGGCTTCCGCTATGCCCTAAGCGCCGAGATTGTGGGGGCGAGGGTCCCTTCTACTACCCATGGGGGCGCTGAGTATTCTTAAAGGAAGAACTCAGTAACCTTTTTTATCGTGAATTTTTATCGTGAACCGTGCCTTTGAGACGGAATCGCCGCACAAGTATTTGATGTACGCAATCAGCCACTCGACTGTCGATTTGACTCTTAATTACTAGTATCTTCTCTTTGAGTGGTACTCTATTTGGATATTCTGGTTTCGAATAGAATCCTTGTTCACAATTAGTTCTTCTTCGAATAAGATGAAAATGGTAAAACAGAAACCAGTTCAGCTGTCAAGTTTAAAAGGTTGCAACCATGCCATCGACTCCATATTGATAGAGGTAATAAGCTACACTTTTACACTTCAGTTTTCACCACAGTCGACAAGCGATTTGTTTTCTTCTTACAATTTGATGTGATAACTTAATAAGATGATGAACTGAAACCGCGTCGCTTTTTCAACTTGGCCGCAGAAGCAAGCAACCCAAATCAGTTGGGGTCCGGATAAGGAACGATAGTGTCGATAAATCTACTGCATGTTTTTTTCGAAGAAGCTCTGGCAATAGTTATATTTATACGTAGAAGCAGGTGCAAATGGAATACACCATTACTATCTGTGAAAGAGGGATATTTCAGGAAAATACATCACATCATCACATGAAAATGTTCATGATGTTTCCAATTCTGGCTTTCCTTTTGCCAATTTCCTCTGCAGAGGGTGAGTACTTCAATTTGAGGCTATCTTTCATATCCAACATGTTGATTTGATATCACTTAAAAATTTCTTTTCAAACTTGGGAATTCCCCTAGACGATAAAGAATCATTTGAGACAATCAACATTATTTACACCAATGACCTGGTTAGCTTTACCAACAGGTTTGGCTCACAGCTACAATTGATGTATAATGTACAAATGATAGGTTTGGAGGGATGAGTCGGCGAAAAAAGCATTGGACTGGTTAAATTCTCAAGACGACCGGAAAAGTATGGAAGCTGATTTGGTTCTTGGAGGAGAAGGGTTCGTGACTGCTCCCTCAAAACTTGCTTTTTCAGATTTTTTTTTGCAAATTTTCAGCTTAATTGTCAATGCGAATGACAAGCCAGTGTGGCATAAAACAGTCGACGTTTTGGAACTTCAGTTTGATGAAGCAGAAGCAGAGGTCAGTTGATTGCATCGTTACCTCTAAATTGTCACTAAAATCCCATTGTGCATAATTATCAAGAAAAAGGCAAAGAATATTATCCCTCTCTTCCGAAAGGGTTTCGATGAGTGTGGCGGCTACGACAGGATCCGGGGAATAACTTACTTACTCCGTTATTTGTGGAAAGATTCGATGTGATCAAATGTTATCAGTCAATGTTGTTCCCAGGCAACTTTGCCCTTTATGCGACAGTGTTGCCGAAAATTCAAAAAGTTGTGTTCAGCTCGAAAGCCTCCCGCAGGCACGGTATACGGATGCAACGGCTAGAAGAGCACAAGAGAAACGAAGGATGATTACATTTCTGCTGTTTGTCTCTATAAAAAGCAGTGAATTATTTGCATCTCTTCTTAACTTGTAATTGGGCTTATGAGCAGATTAAGAACAAAATGACGTTTATGCTTGTCACTTCAGTTGTGTTTAAAAGTGGTCAACGATGTGCCGGCAACTATATTTTGCAATACATTTTCACGTTGTAAAGTTGCATAAACTATTTGGTGTATAAACTACCAAAAGTTTTGTTATTCCAGACGAGAATGCTACCAGATAACCAATACTGGATGGATTCAAAACTCTTTTCGAATGAGAATCTACCCTGAGTTGGTTACAGGATCGTCGGGCACAATGTTCCACTACCGCCAACCGCCTTAAAGTAGAGAGCTTGCTCAGAGAAATTACCTTGAGCATCCTTTGCTTTAAAGAGTTTGTAGGAAAACTAGTTATATTAATTATTAACTGCCTCTTCCCGCTTCTCTAGAATGGCTGTAATTGTACACCATCAAAACTATTCCATAGGATGTCTAGTTATTTTGGGCGATGATCCGTTGGTTTTGAACTATTGAATTACTTGCAAGGTAAGCCATGGATTTCGTTTCTCATTTTTTATATCAATAGTAACCTGCTCACAACGGACGACTGTCCTCCGGAGTCCCCCCACCCAGAGCATTGATGCATTGCAGCTGATGAATTGAAATTGTAGTCTGAAAATGCTGCACAGGCACATACTCACTGTAATGGCCTTCCGAGCCGCATTTTCAACTTTTTCTCTTCATTTGATGGGAATAAGGGCCATCCATAAGTTTTCTCTTCATTTGCTTCACTTGATAACTGTAACTTAACTTCTAACAGAGTTCATGCTAGGCTGTGGTGAAACCAACCATTTGGAACCATAAATGGGTAAGACATCAAATAGAAGAAAAAAGAATAAAACCAATGCATTGCTAGAGAACTCTTACCAAGAATAACATTTGTTATGTTATGTTATGTATTACGCTGTTAGGACAAACGTAGTAAAAATGATAACAACCTTCTGGAACCAACTTAAACGGAGAAAATACAAGGAACACATGTAGATAAAACGTAATTGTATAAAGAGACCACAGAAAAAATAAGGCAAACGACTCCTAGTTAGATATAAAACAAAGGTAGTGTAGAAGAAGAAATGGTCAACCGCAAGGAACCTTAGATAAAATTACTTTCACAGAGCGTCTGAACTTAGCCAAGGAATCCGGAGCGATCATGTTTTTTGTTACCTTTCTGTAGAGGCTAGCCGCTCTGAATGTGAAACTTCTGGCTTTTATACTGGTTCTGGGCCTAGGGAGATTTGTTTTAGTCTGACCTCCTCTGGTTCGGGAGTGAGCCACGTTATAAAAATCAAAAGAACCAAATTTATTACTATGGTACAATAGCTTGTAAACCATACATACGTCGAATACTTTGTGCCGTGATTCCAAAGTAGAGTTCATAGTATTTGTTGCGAATAGCTGCTTTAGGAATTCTAGAATAGAAAAAAACTCCTACATCGCAAAGGATTTTACGCGTAAAATTGTTTCGCACCTTCGCACCAAGTGCTTCAACATCCTTTCTCCTAGATGGATTGAACACTGCACCACCACTCTCAACCAAGGGCCAACATATATTTTATAAGCTTCGGAAGTATGGACTTATTGGTGGAAGACTTATGGATATGGACTTGAGCCTTATAACGCTGAGAGGAAAATGAAATTGAACGGATGCAGGAAACCAACGTGAAATTCGGCGGCTGCCGTAACACAAACAGTAGTCATGCCAAATCATCATCACCCGAGGGCATCATCCGTAGATGAATGTAATATATCGTTATGGTGAAATGCTTTGAGTAGACAAAATTCAGCTAATTCAAGATAGAAAATACTATCGTATGAGTTTCATTTGACACGTATTTATACGCAACAAGGAGCTCGTTTAATTCTTTCGTAGAGACGAAGCTATCCTTTCTATATTATTATATCTTCTAAAATGGGATTTTCGCAAGTTCAAAACGTTCAGCAGCCCCGTAATAACGAGGGCCCTTTGTTTGGGATCTCGAGACTGTCACATTTGCCTCAATCGCCACGCTACCTGTTGCTAATTCTTCTCGACTGAAGATCCACTGTATATTGCCTCGCGTTGGCTGACATGTTTCTGCTTAACGCTCTGGAGGTGAAGAGGAGCATAGGCCGAAGCGGAATGCATGTGCGCTAATCTACGGATCGCTTGAAATTAGGAGAAACCCTTTCTCTGAAGTAAAATTATTGTCATTGGAAGAAATTGCAAGCGCTCAAAGTGAACGAGTTAGAAAGAAAGAAGCACATGTGTCTACCGCAAGGGGGAGAGTTTATTAAAAATCAAATATGCAAGTCTATGAAAAGCACTCAAGAGATAAGGACGAAATAAGGATCCGTGCTGATATTCTATTGCGTAGCTCGGTAGCTGTGTTCTTTGTCAGCTCATTATTTCCTCATTGAAGGCAAAGTTCACGAAAATCTTGGATTATCCGGATAATGACGAAAAAGGATAGGGAAGGTGGAGAATAGTGCGATGGAGGCGAAGGAAGCACGCGAAGCGGTGTTTTCAAAGTGATAATGAGTTTGGAAAAAGTCGCTGAAAAAGGTACTGGATGAGAATAAGACCAGAAATATGGGGTAGAAGGAATGCTTGGACGAGCTATACAATGAGTGCCATTGCGTACATGTGGGTCCTGGTGGGATTGGCTAAACAAAAATGCCCTTTACAATTCATTCACTCATAAGTACAAGTTAACAAAAACACTATTACCAGCGGAACTAGTCCACCTTCTGCAGTCCACCTTTCTAGTTAGAAAACTGGGTAGGGGACCGCAGCAGCAAAAAGAAGTACAGAGAATAACAGAACAAGGGTAAAACATCACTTCACCACGTGTTTCCCTTAGCTCTATAGTCCAACCCTTGCATAGTCACTTGTGCCAAGATTCCATCTAAACAAATGATATCATTGGATGTTGTTCTTAGGCAACTCTCTATTGCCGAAAATTGAAAATTGTGTTCAGCTGAAACGTCTTCCCCCATTAACGGCATACGGATACAACGGCTATACGAGCCCAAGAAAAACGAAGGATGATTACATGTCCGCCGTCTGTCTCTGTAAGAAACAATAAATCTTTTGCATCTTCTCTTAACTTATTATTAGCTTATATCAGCAGGTGAAGAATAAAATGACATTCATGTATGTCAAAGTTGTGTCCGAAAGCATATGTGGTCAACGAATGTCGGCTGCTGCCACGACATTATGCAACACAGTTTCATGATAAAAAGCTGCACGAACTATTCCTTGTATAACAGGCACAGCTCACGGATTTCCGGATCCAGATTCAGACGAACGATGGAAGATATAGTCAAAGCTTGGTCAAAAGTGGCGGAGGTATCGCAAAAATGGGCATATTTAGAGAAATATAATGCTTCAAAAATGTAGAAACTCTAGGCATTACCGCACTTAGGGGTACTTATTGTATACTATTGCTCATACTAGTTTGTTCGGAGAATCCCTAAAAAGAATTTGAAGATATTCCGAGCTAATGTTAATTATTTTCAAATTTATATGTTGGGAGCTGAGACCGAACGTTTGCATGACTCTGAACAGAGAGGTCTCCCGGAATAGCAATCCTGTACAGACGCAAGGGACTAGCTGTTCTTTCCCTCATTCATAAACCTTTCTATGGTAATCGTCATGTCGGCCTTGCGAATAGTTGACCTTTGGACTGGCACCGAGTCATACTTCCTTATCAAAGTGCTTGTACTGCAAAATGACATCGAGAAAGGTAGAAGACTTCACGCTAAGAAACTGAAGAAGAAAATGAAAAATTTCAAGAGAACTGATTCAATTTACTCTCTATGGATTTGAGGATTGGCTCGAAAATACTAGAGAAAAGTGCCAGCTATTCATCAGTAGACGGTGACCCTTAATCTCGTTCTTGGATTTTTTGTCATTTTTCACTCATGTAGGATCTTTCATCAACTTATTTTGGTCAAAATTGATCGAAATTGATTTCTTTCAATTATTTCCTTAAGCAAATAAGATTACTCCATGAATTCAGGTGAACGAAGGTTTAGACGTACAGCCTTACCTCTGATATTAGAGCTTTACTGAACGCCGTTCGATGGGCAGTTCAGCTTCATCTATGAACCATTTTTGTCTAGCGATAATCTGCATAGTAAAACAATGGAACACTGCTGTAAATGTGGGCAGTTCCACTGTTCCGCCGGACTGTCAAGCTTAAATGATAAGGGCTGAATGGTTAGCATCAGCAGTTATTGCCGTCTTATAGATATGGCATAGAAACCACCAAACACCCAGTTTGGCGGGTTTACTCCCAGTTCTTTGAATTATTTTGTTTTCATTCAACCACTTTCGCACCATTTTGACTAACTTCAACATTCAGAATGCGCATTGCTCTCACTTTTGTTCTATCATACATCGAGACCGACTCTCTTCTGAAATGTGTCAGGACTGACTTGGAGGGAAATGTCCTTGAAACAATAGACCGCATAGATAGAATAAGCTCCCAACGAAAAATAAAAAGCTCTCAGAAGAGGTCAAGCATGATAGCATTAACCTCTTGAATAGGAAGCGGTAAGTTGTCTGTGACATAGCAGGTGGCAAAGGAAACTTTCCTCAACATGTAGTTCTGCTTTGAATGATGTGTGTGGTGTCTTAAAGTAGCTGAGTTAGAAAGCGATTGTATTTTTCCCTGTGCCCCTTTGGCTCAGACCCACACTTCTCCGCTTTTCTGCTCCTTCGCAACTAGTATATTTCTCTAATTGTCGAATGTGTCCTATTCTTTCTGTACCTTCTATACAGGTGAACTACTAAATTTTATCCACTTTTTGTCCACAAATATCAAATTATCTGGCTTTAACAATTCTAAAGTATTTTTCAGAGCGATTACCTACAATCTTCGATTGTCAATATATTTGAGCCTCATTACCTCGAAGTTGGATCTTGGTCCCTAACATCTTCTCAGAAGGTCGATAGTTTCTGCATTACCTTCAAAAGTTCTGCGAACGTTCATACCCACACTTCTGCGCTTGAAGTCTTCACACTACCCAAAGATGGACTACTTGAATACGGAGATGGTTCTATTCATGAGGAAAAAGTGCGGGGTGATGTAGTGGGTTTACAAACGCCGATAGACATGTGGTGTCCCGACACCCTGAATAATAGCGTCTAGCATTCACAATGAACAGATTGTACCCCTTCCTTGATTTCATCAGAATCTCTGCATAATTTAATAGCTAGGATGAAGCATTCCATTCGATCTTTTCTTTGCACTACTCGCACATGATTCAGAGCTTGTGAAGTGCCGCACCCTCAATTCCTACGCAATTCCATTCACTGAAATCAAATCAGGTCCCTCGGTTCAATTGTCAGGGCCTCCTCACGATTTTCTGGGTGTGATGCGTTAGGGACGAATTGGTCGCGTCGCGGTGAGAGGGGCGTCGCGCGCGAAGGAATGTAGCAGGATGCAGCAGTAGGTAAGAAATACAAGAACAAAAGTACTAATAGTAGAATTATGCAAAAGTAATGATCGCATATCGATTGAGCTGTATGAAGAATGCTAGATCTATAATAACGGCGAATGAGGGGTCCGCGGCAGCCGCGTCGATTACCCAAAATCGACTACCCAAAATCGTTCCTAACGCCCGTCTCCCCGATTTTCTGCATGTTTAGTCAGTATCAGCTCCTGCTGGAATTATTGATACTATGGATCCAGCATCATAACTCTTTTGGCAGTGTCACTCCATGTTCGCTGGCAGAAGAAGATAGTTGAAACAAGGGAGACCATCAAAGTGGGAAGCCGACATGCCACACACTGTCCATCCATCTGAAAAGAAGTAAAAATCAAGCGGTTCACTCGTAATCTGATCACCATGAGGTTGTAACGTACATACAGAAGCCGAGAACGAAGCACTACGTGGATATCGGGTGTTAGCCTTAGCGGTTGCAAAGACTGCGAAGTGAACCAAAAAAGGTGCACTCTTGAAGCTTCCCCACTCTCGTTCTACCCACCTACACCCATAAACACAAATCCCAACACAAACATTTACAGGAGCTCAAGCCATCGAAGGTGTGGCCGAGGAACACTGAAAAGCAAACATAGACAGAAACTCAAGATGGGCCTGTGAAATCGGCAGAATGCCACAGAGAAAAAATTTTTTCGAGCATATCAGTCCCGTCCCGACTCTTCGCGTGCATTCCTTACCTTTTCCTGGAATTTTCCTGGAACCACCACCGAACACACGTCAAAGCAGAACAACTTCAGGGATATCAGAAGGGAGTGAAGCAGACTATTAACCCTACACCTGTTCAGGTTCAGTAATGGAATTTTTCTAATCAAGAGCTGATCTAAGCATCGTTCGTTCTGACTCATCAGGTGTGATGGGGTCACATACAGGCTTTATCATGCGACAAGAGCACAGATAAGGAAGAGTAGGAGGGCCCTAAATTCTCTTCCTTGTGCAATATTCTTTCACCAGCTACACTGTTCCTTCAGAACAGAAGAGTGCTTCAGGCCTTGGGGCACAAAAAGAAATATTGGAGAAGAACCTAGTGACTTTGTTCAAATTTTTTTGATACGATG